GTCGTGGAATAGTGCAAAGGGGAGAAAATGACTGCGCTCAGGGATAACAGGGGACGCGAGCAGGGGCGGCTTCCTCAAGAGACCGAGGGGAAGGGACGTGAAGAGAGGGAGGGATGGGACTTCCACCCGCCCCCCATCAGCCCAGCCCCCGGGGCGTGGCACCGCTCCGGCCCTCCCAGACCATCCCGGCAGGGCCAGGCCCTGTCGGACTCGGCCCCCGCACACCTCCCCTACCTCCAGCGCCCCCCCAGCCGCGTCGGCGGGAGAAGAAGTGGGCGCAGGGCCCACGGGTCCCTCAAACTTCCTGCAAGTTCACTCCCACGCCTCCCGCCCCTTCGACTCCCAGCTCCCGAGCCGGGAAGGCCCATGCCCGCCCCGGCCCCTCCCGCCTGGTTACATAAGGTCGCAGAGAAGCCGCCCCCGGCCCGGGCCTGAAGGGAGGGGCCGCAGGGGCTCCCTGGTTTGGCAGGCAGCGCCGCTCGCGCCATGCGCCGGGCGTCCCCGGCTAGACAGACAGCGGGGCGGGTGGCAGCACGGCGTCCGGCTCCCCTCTCCAGCCCGCACCCCCACCCACCCACCTGTCTCCCAGACCCACAGGGTAGGGGCAGGGGAGCCTGGGACAGGGATCCCCGGCCTTCCGCGTACTCCGTGCCTCCCGGCTCCGCTCACCTAGCTCTGAAGGTCAATCCGTCCGCCGCCCGCGCCCCGGGGCTCCGGCAACTTGTCTCAAGTTCAGGTGTCCGGCCGGCGAGCTGCGCCTGCCGCCCCCTCCCGAGCTCCTCCGGCTCGGCGCCACGAGAGAGGCCCGCCCCGTCCTCCTTTCCCGCTGCCGTCGGCGCCGCCGCCGCTCCCTACGTCCAGCCGGCGGCCGCCGCCTCCGCTGTCACCCAGCCCCGCGCCCGGCTTCCCGGCTCCCGCTGTCACTCCGCACCCACTTCCCGCCTCGCCCGGCAGAGGGCAGCACCCGCCGCCCCGCCCCGCCCCGTCCCGCCCCGCCCCGCGTCGGTCGGCCGGGCGCCCGCTGGGAAACGTAGTCTTCGCTACGGCTCCGCCAGGCACTCCGGGATTTGTAGTCCTGCTCTGCGGGCCCAAGCCTGTGTACAGGGACTTGGTGTTTAACTTGGCTTGGTTTCACTTTATTTCTGCCCCTTGTGCAAGTTTTCTTTCTCTTCTCAGTCAATGATGTCCTGAACCGGAGTTCACTATGACACACCCTGTGGCCTGTCTGACCCTAGGGAGAGGCCTGCAGATGTTTCCCAGAATCTAGGAAAGATACAGGGTCCCAGGCTGTGTGCTGTTGCCATAGAAACTCCTCGTGGCAACCTCAGTTTCCCTCCTGGTTTGCAATGGGGTAATGAACCTGGATCTTGCACTTTTACCCCTGCCTGTGAGCATAAGGGACAAGGTGGGGTCAGCCTGGTGAAAGACAGTATGAAAGAGATGTGACTCTAGCCTGGAGTCCACCTCCCCTCCCATTATGTTTTCACCCCCTCCCCACCTAGGCCTTCATCCATCTGAGCTTGTGGTACCCCCCACCACCATCAAAAATCAGAAAATTTCTGATCTTTCACGTCACCTTCTCCTGTTGAAAGTTACAGGGTGCTGAGCTATAATTATCTGCTTTCTTCTCCTCCTCCTCTTCCCATATCATATTTGCCCAGGTTTCTGGGTCTTTTGCTAGGTGGCTCCTAAGGAGAACAGGGATCTATCTAGAGGGACAAAAACCTCTTGCTCAGTTGCTTATAGCAAGTAGGCTTGATTTCCATGTGATTCAAGAAGCTCTCCCTCTTGTCCATGGTTGAGGGCCAGCCCATCTTCAAATACAGGCCCTGGGACTTTAGGTGTCTGGATGAAAATATGATCAGCTTAACTCAGCCCAGACCTTTGGAAGCCCTTTTAGAAATAGGTTCTTGTGACCTCAGCCTCCTCCCTCAAGGACCCATGACTGCTACAAGTACACATAAGCATCCTAGGCACCAAGCATTTCTCAGGAAACTCCCAGTACAAACTTGACCCCAGATCAAGGAGATGAAGGCCTAGGTTTGGGATGCATTGGACCCCTAGCCACACTGCTAGTGGACACACGTCGGGTAATTCTGGTGGTAGTTTGGTAAGTCAGGTCAGCAGAGCATTTCAGGTTTTCGGGGTGGGGTCCCTTTGCCCTTCACAAAGGAATGCCCTGCCTCAATGCCACTACCACTGTCTTCCCAGAGAGAAGCTGTGAACAGACTCCAAGCTCCGAGGGGTATAAGGCCCATCCCCAAGCCCTACCTTATGCCCCATGTCTCTTAGAGTCTCAGTGGCCCGTCCAGAAACCTCCTAGCAACTCAAGGAGAGCATGGTTCAGCAGAGGCAAATTTGCCTTTGACTCCGTCTCCCCACTCCCCGAGACCAGGAGCAGCCTTACAGGCCACAGCTGCCCTCTAAAAACAACAGGTTGACCAACATGGAGAAGAGCTATTTATTAAGAGAGAAAGTCCAGAGTCCAGAAAAGGAAGGCTGAATTCAGAGAAGCACAGAGAGACACCCCTGCAAGGCAGAGGACCAAGAGGAAGAGGAAGCCCAGGCGTCCAGGCGGAGTCTAGGCGGCCGTGGCAAAGCCCACCCTGTTGTTGCCCATGTCGTAGACGGAATAGTAGGACCTAAGGAAGACGTCCCCGAGGATCCACAGGGGCTGGCCATTCTGGGAGGGCAGGTAGGTGGGCTCCACCCCCACGGTGCAGTAGCCGTTGTTCTGTAAAACACAGAAACGCAGTGCTCATTTATTCGCTCACACACCGACAGGGCACTGCTCTGCCCTGAGCCCCAGACTCGGGGCACAAATGCAGAAATGAGTGAGCCAGGACCTCTGCCCTTAAGAACTCACAGGCCAACTGAGCCACCAGAGCAGAGGCTGCTGGGGGTTTTTTGGAATGGGGGAATGCAGGCTGTAGTGTCTCCTCTGCAGCGTCTCCTCTCCCTGGGTTCCCCCCAGCCTCCCTCCTGTCCGCGATTTAGAGCAGGTCAGCCTGGTGGTGAAGCCTTTGAGCTAGACCAACTTGGATTCAAACCTTAGCTTCACCCTGACTAGCTGTGTAGGCTTAGGTGGGTTACCTAACCTCTTTGAACCTCCAAATGTTCAATTGTAAAATAGAAATGAGCATCTCCCTCACTGAAGGTTGTGACAATTAAGCGGGTGAGTGTGTAGGCAAAGTGCTTCGCTTAGTGTCTGACCCTGTAAGTGCGCAGAGAGCCCGGTGCCTCTCCCCGCTGATTCATACTAATAATTGATAATAGGTGACACTCTTGTATTTCACAGCCTCTTTCCAGAGAAGGGAGTTTAGAATCAATGAGCGGAGAAAATAAATCAACACTTTAAGAGTCGGAACATATCACAAGGTAAAGAGACCAGGCCTTTCTGGCTCCCCAAGCCTTCCTCCCACCCCTGATCATGTCCCCCCCAGCCCAGCCTGCAGAGACCAGGACTTACGTTGAGGACGTAGGAGGAAGGTGGCAGAGGGAACTGCACACCATTGATGATGAAGGTGAAGGTGGGCAGATTCTGGATGTTGTTACAGTTCACAAAAAACTGCAGAGAGAGGAACAAGGCTCAAGTTGCCTCATCTCCCACCTGAGAGTACCTGCCAGCCCTGTCACCTCAGTCCCTCTGGTCCCAGGCCTGAGCCCCAAGCCTGCTCTTGGACTTGAGGTGGCAACACTAAGGGAAAGTTCTGTGTACATACTGCTGGCATTATGCATATGGACTCACGTACAATGAGTGGGATTTGGGGAGACCTGAGCTTCTCCCCCACCCCAAAAACATTACTCTTGCCTGAATTTCCCCCATGAGAGATTGAATCTATGCCCCATCTCTGCAAAGGTCCTTTGAAAACACACAAGTCTGTAGAAAGAGTAGCCCATTGATCGTGCAAAGGTAGTGGGAATGCATTAATTAGGCAAACCCTTTGTTGGGCTCTGGAGGTCGGGAAAAGGGGCCTGACCCTACAGAGATGAGGAAACAGTAGATTAAAGGGTTACCCCTTGTCACTCACTGGCTTGGCCCCACATCCCTGCTATTTCACTCTTATTTCAAAGCCCAACAAGTGTTTAACCTGTTACCTCTGAGGTGCTGAGGCTCAGAGGAAATTCTACCTAGTAGAAACTTCCCCACAGCCCCTCAGCACAAGCATCTGCCCCCCTGAATCAGCCTCCAGGCCCTCACCCCAGTCATCCCCGGGTTGCCCACCTCCAGTGCCTTGGGCAGCTAGAAGTATGAAGGCCGAGAATCAGGCTATTCCTGGAGAAACCATAGATGCCTCCCGGCTGGCCTCTCCTAGGGAAGGGGACAGACCCACCTGTCCATACTGGTCTTGCTGGGCCCCTGTGGCCTGCAGAAGGGCACTCATATACTGCTGGGGCACAGTGAGCAGAGATGTGCCAGTGTCGACAATGGCCTGGCAGCCCTGGGAGCACCAGCCCGAGGCCTGGCCGCCAATAAGGAACCTGAATGGTGAGATGAACCATTTAGCACCTCCAGCTCAGGGGAACCCCCCCTGAGGGACTAATAGCTATGGCACAGAAGCAAGGTACACCTCAGAAAGGTAAGGACTCTGCAGAGGTCAATCTAGTCATCCCCCGGCCTCACACCAGAGTCTAAGTTCACCTAAATGGCCATGGAATCTCTTCTTAAAAGTTCCAAGGAAGATTCTAGAAACATTGAAAGCCAGGGCTACTGATTTGTTATAAGTACTTTGAGCAAATTAGTCGCCCCTGCCACCACCACCACCACACACCCCAGTTTCTAATCTGTAAACCCATAGATTTGGACTGAAGGGTCTGAAATGTTTGGGATTCCAAGTCCCGCCCTTTTCTATGTTGTCCCCATCTCATCTCTCTTCCCTTGGCTGAGCTGGGCCTTGAAACCACAGCTGTGGCTTTGTGAGGGCAGGACTGAAGTGGGGGTGGGGGTCCTCTGTTCCCCGCCCCCCCACACACACACACACCTGGATGTGTGTCTGTGGTGTGTGTGTGACATGAAGTGCCTCAAAGCCTGCTCCAAGGAAGAGCCCACCTCCCCAGGGCCCTACCACAGACTTACTCCTCAATGCCAATCTGCCAGTAGAGCTCCTCGGTGACTGGGGCCCAGTAGATCTGCCCCTGGTACAAGCTGTTGTCCACACCCCCAAAGATGACTGCTCCTCCATTCTGGGAGCCTTGTTGGCTGCAGGAGGCAAAGAGAAAGGTGAGTCAGGGGGTGGCTGTGGAAGAGCACTTCTCTATTGAGCAGTCACCCTCAGAGCAAAACAGAGGCCCTGCCTTGGCTCTAGACTGGAGCTCCCTGCGGACAAGGAGGTGTTTCCACCTCAGACTGGGTCTCCCAGGCTGGGCCCCTCAGAATTCCCAGTGCCTCAGGCTCCCAGAGGATGCTTCCCCTGCCTCTGGGGAGGCCCCTGGTTGTGCCCCACACTCCCTTTTCCTCTCCCTTCCACTTCATGATGCTGGTGGAGCCTGACCCAGGCCCGGCTTATTTAAGGAGCGCCTGAGTGGAGAGGAGGGAAGGACATTTTGTGTTTGCTTGAGACACCTCCCCTGGTAGCCAAACTTGAGTGTGGAACTCCCGGGAGCTCCTCAAGGCGAAACTCAGAGTCACTGTAAATAGTAGTAGTGAGTAAATCAACAACATTACTAACAGGGTAATGTTCAAAGTCAGATTCAAGTGACTGAGCCCGATAGTAGATGCTGACTATCTCTACAGCACGGTTGGCTAGTTCTGAGAGGAAAGAAGGAAAGTCCATTCCAGGCCACACACCCCCTCCCACCGCCTGGCTTCCAGGCCCATCCACATAAATAACTGTGTTTGCTTGTGTTTGTGGTGAGGACAACAGCTTGTTAGGAGTTAATGGTGGACCTTGACCAGAAGATTCCAGGGCCTGGCTAGAACACTAGATCAAAGGAGGTGGCACAATAGATGGCTATACAGAAGAGGTGTCCAGATAGTAAACATTTGGTCAGAAAGAAATCGGCCAACTGGGGCTCTCGGCAGAAGGGAAACCCAAGAGGTACTGAGAACCAGCAGCAACGTTTAAAGCAAAGCTCGGCCAGAAGAGGAAGGGATGCTGTCCCGGCCAAGAAATGCCAAAAAAAAAATCCAAGTGGGCTGGAGACAGAGGCAGGGATGGAGGAGAGGTGAGGCATGGAGGAGGAGTCAGAGCCCAGGAGGGAGAAAGCCCTGGGACAGGAGTGGCTGGGGCCAAAGGCCTGCTGGGAGGCCTCCAAACCCCATAGCATGGAGCCTCCGTTGTTCAAGGCCACAGGGGCTGGTGCGCCGGGAGTCGGGGACCCCCTGGCGGGTCCTCACTTGCTGAGGTAGAAGCTGAAGACCGGGCTGCTAAGGGCGCCCTCCTGCAGCATGCCCTGCAGGGCTGTGGTGGCCCCGCCCATTGCCAGGGAAGGGTAGGCCATGCCCATGATGCCATCAAACTGCGCATAGACGAAATTGGTGCCCGGCTCGTTCTCACTCAGGCCGAACTCCTGATTGGGGACCTGGATGCTCTGGACCTGGAGGGGACACAGAGGATGGGAGGTGACACACATAACTCCACCTACCTCTCCTAGACACCCCTCAAGGCTCATTCTTCATCTCTCCTTCACCTCTGCTCCTGTCCTTCTGGACACGTCTTGCAAGAGTCACTTTCTCTTCTGAGTGGCCTTCCCTGACTGCTGCGGCACCACCCCCCACCCCTCCGAGGACAAGGTCACCCCATTCATCATGGTGTCTTCAGTGCCTGGCACATGATAGCCCTCGCTGAGCGTTTGATGAGCAAATGAATGAATCCTTATTGTACTGACTCCTGTCCTGGACAGCAGAGCACAAGGTGTTTTTCGTCTATTTCAGGGTCTCCGGCTAAGTCTCCTCGTTAGACTCTGAGTCCTGTGAACTTAGAACCCAGCTCACCGCCCCATCTACCGTTCTCACGTCCTGGGGTGGGGAGCAGCAGCCAAAGCAGCATCACTCACTGTCAGAGTGTCATAGCCAAAGAAGCCGGTGAGGCTGCCGCTGCCATACTGCAGGGAGAAGGTCTGCCCGTTGGTGGAGTACGTGGAGGACTGGCTGGGGTTGAAGCGGCTGTGGCCGGCTGCAGGGCGTGGAAGGATTCGGGAAGTCAGGCTGGCCCTGCCCTGACCCTCAGGCCTGTGGGGCTTCCCAGCTGTCTCCTGGCCTGTGCTCACATCCTGGGGCCTTAGCACCCTCCGCCACCCATCAGGAGGTGGCCAGCCATGGTTCCCAGCATTGGAAGTCTCATGGAACATGCCACCCTTTGCCCCAAAACCCCTGCTGGCTTACAGACCCTGGGGAGCCCTCGGACTGTGACCTCCCTATGGGCAGGTTACACAGACTCCATGGCCCCCAGCAGGTCGCCTGTCGCACAGCAAGTGTGAGAAATTACTTATCAGATGAAGCAGTGAATGACTCTCCAGGGTGTCCCTGCTTTTCCCGACCCTTCCCCCACCCTCAAGAAGCTGGTCATACCAGGACCATGTAGGGCAGGGCCAGCGAGGGACCCTCTGGACTAGAGGGGTCAGGACCCAAACCCCAAGGCTTGGGCAGGGACCAGGGCAGCCTTAAGAAAGGAGCATCGTCTGTCTCCAAATATGACTGCAGGAGGGGGAGGGCATCCCGTGTTTTTCTCCCATGTGCCTTGGACATGCTCAGTGAGAACTTAGTAAAGAGTGGAGCACAGGGTGGGCTGGAGCAGATAGAGGACTATGTATCAGACAGCAGGCAGGACAGAGGGGCCAGTCAGCTCCAGGGCCAGCTTCTTCTCTCTGGCTTGGGCATAGTCCCTGGTCCTCTCCAGGACCAAAGCTCCCCACAGCAATCCCTCTGAAGGTTGGTGGTTCCCCAGAGGGTGTCAGTGCCCTCCCCTGCCCAGCCCAGCACTCACTGCAGGCCTGGGTCTGGCAGTACACGGAGGGCACCCACAGGTTGGAAGATCCGGTGTCAAAAAGGACCAGGAAGTTCTGTGGTGGGGTACCGATGCTGATCTCACCAAAGTAGGCAGCCTGGGGGCAGGGTGGGCGGGGGCGCAGAGCAGTCTGTTAGTTCTGGAGAGATCCAGGGACCATCAGACCCATCATCCTTCATGAGCAGAGCAGGGGAAGGACCAGCCCTTGTCCTACAGCCTGCACCCGAAGCAGAGACCTGACCCTTCCCTCCACACTTGCCTGGAACCCACAGACCCTCAGCCCACGCCTGCCCAGGCCTGCTGCAGAGATCTCTGTGGACTGAGCTGCCAAGACAAAAGGGGCCTGTCCCATGCTCTGCCTGAGGAATGAAGGCCAAGCTGACAGGTCTGAGAGAAGGGAGTAGGGGCTGGGTGGGAGGGTGCAGAGAGGAGGGGTGCAGCTCACTGCCCAGGCCTTGCCTTTTAGCCTTTGGCAGCAGGGAGAGGGGTACCCCTGGGAGGGTCAGGACTCACATCCATGTAGGCCATGGGCTCGTAGGCCACGCTGAAGTCACTAAAGCGGTACTTCTGGACAGGGTCGTACTTGTGGGTCTTCAAGAAATCCTCCAGTAGGCCCTTCTCCTTCATGGTTTCACGTAGGGACTTAAATTTTGTCAGGGAGACCCTGCAGAAGAGCTGTGTGTCAGGGAAGCACCTCTTTCCTACAGCACCTCTGACAGACCCAGATGCTCTCTCTCTCTCTCTCTCTCTCTCTCTCTCTCTCTCTCTCTCTCTCTCTCTCTCTCTCTCTCTCTCTCTCTCTCTCTCTCTCTTTCTCTCTCTCTCCTCCCTCCATCTCTAACTATATATCTCAATTCTCCCTGCCACTGTGTTCCCCTGTGTCTGTCACTTGTGTGTGTCTGTGTTTTTCCCTCTTTCTCCGTTTCTGTTTCATTCTGTTTTTCTGTCTCTCTGTCTCTTTCTCCCTTGCCCTTCTCTTTCTTCCCCTCTCCTCTTTCTTTCAAAACTCTTCTCAGGACTTGTTCCAAGACTCAGGAAACAATTGCATTCACCCATGATGCCCCCGCCCTATCTTAAGGGCCCTCATCCTGCCCAGGCCCTCTGCTCTCAAATAGCCCATAAATTAAATTCCTTCCCAGGAGGGGGAGAGGGACTTCAGGCATTACCCTTTGCAGGATACATACATTTTTAAAAAGATTTCAGAGATGGCGAAGTTCATCCCAAAGAGATTCCTTCCTAAGGTGGCCCTCAGGCACATGGCACTGGCTACGTGTGACAGAGCACGGGTGCAGGGGAACAACACTGGACTAGAGGGGACTCAGGGGACAAGGTCTTGGTTCTGCCTCTGCTGCTAATTGTCTGGCTTGGGACCAATGACTGCTTTTCTCAGGACATGGGGACAATTGGCCTGGGTGGTCTGGAACCCAGATTAGCTTTGGAAATTGGGACTTACGAATCATGGGTTTCTTCCCATGTCACCTTTGGTTATCCTCCCAGACCTGCTCTGTGCCATTGCCTAGAGAGTGTCTGTCTGCGGGTCCACCCACGCCTCACTCCAGACACCAGCATTCCTGCTTATTTCACTTCTTTCTTGTCTTAATCCCCATTCCTTCAGGATCCTGGACTCTTCAGCAATGCTCTGCTAAACCCATTCACGTTGAGCTATGAAGACTGATAGCTTCTCCAGCCACCTCAACAGAATTCATATGTTACAAGACGTTTCTAAGAAGAGCCATCTCTCCATCCACAGAATCTCTAATGGTGGGACAGCAGCAGTGTGGTCAGCCCCAGCTCTCCTGATGTCCGGGGAGCCACGCCACTCACTCCCTTTCTCCTGACACCTCAGCATATAGAAATTACATTACTGATGTCTCTGCTTAGGTGATTATATCATCTGCTGAATACATTTTTAGGAAATTTTTAGCGAATGTCTCCCTATCCGGAGATAATAATTCCTTTCTATGAGAGGCCCCACAGCTGCCATGCAGGGTCTGCCTAGGCAGAGGTCACCCCTGCTCTCTCTGCTTCAGGTCTATCTTTTCTCCTCCGATGGAGGAAGTGACAGTGCTTCTCCCTCTGGAAGTTTCCTGAGGGCAGAGCCTGAGTCTTCTCCCACCTTTGAGTCCTGTCCTAACCCTAGCAGAAATTCTGGAGCAGAGGCAGAGGGGGCATCCCCTTGCCAGGACACCCCTTGCTGGACTCCAGTCTCCAGTCCAGGCTCCCACACCAGCAACCAGACCCCAAACTCACTTGACCACTTTTGCCTCCAGGAGCTGGAGGCAGAGCAAGACTACCACCATCCACTTCATGATGCCAATTCCCAACTGGCTGCAGAGGAAAAGCCACTTCAAGTTGAGCAGTCGTGGTGGAGTGAAGGCCTGAGCACTGCTTCTTCCTTTATACCCCCCGGGACCCAGCCCAGTCCCCACCTCCCTGCCCTGGCCAAACATGACCTCAACCCCTGCTGTACCCTGAGCTCCACGTTCCAATTGTTTCCTTCTGTTGACCCTCGTGAGGGTGGCTGCGAAAGACTTTTCATCTTATTGACTTTTTAATGCAGGCAATGGAAGCTGGGAGGTGCGAGCGATAAGAGAGAACAAAGTTGGAGTGACGAAGATTATTTCTTATCCAGGAACCAAAGGTGTGATGTGGGCCTTTTGGGATGAGAGCCAGAGAAAGGTAGAGCCAGAGGGATGGCTGTAAGATCTGTAATTGGGCTTCTCATCCTCGGTACTATTGATATTTTGGAATAAATAGCTGTTCGTTGTGGGCACTGTCCTGTGCATTGTAGAATGTTTAGCAGATTCTCTGGCTCCTACCCACTTGATGCTAACAGTAGTCCTTCAGTTGTGACAGCCAAAAAATGTCTCCAAGTATGTCCAAATGTCTCCTTAGGGGGCAAAGTTGTTGAGAACCACTGATCTATTTGCGATAAGCTTGGAGGTCTGACTCAAGTCCTGGTTCCCAGCACCCCCAAACCCTTGGGGGATGTAGTTAGGGGTGTCTGGGGGATGATGGGGTCAGCGGCTAGGATGATAGTAATGATAATGGTGATGGTAAGAGTGGTGGTGTTGGTGGTGCTGACGGCGGTACCGTTAGCACTGATGCAGGTGGTAGGGCTGGGATGCAGTGGTTGAGGTCAGAGAGAGCCTTTTGGGGCAGCTTTGGAGGCTTTCAAGGTCATAGGGGGCATCTGGAGGAATTCGCATCAAAATTCAGCGAGTGCTCAGGACACACCCACAGGTAAGCCAAATGGCCCCTGGTTATGCCTCTTGTGCTAGTCTGGAACAATAGAGGGCCTGGGTCAGGGGCACACGGAGAGGGGCATGTCTGCCCTTGCTTCTGCTCTTCATTGTCTCTTGTCTCCCACTCCATTTTGACTCCGCCCATTTTTAGCTCTGAAATTGCTGTGACCCCCATTACCTTCCCCCTAAGCTCTAGGTGTCCCCTTTTCCTGCCCCCAAGCCTGACCTGTCCTGTACCTCCATCCCTTATCTCCAGGGCCTCCCTGCTTTCCAGCTACAAGCTTCTCATTGCCTGAGGTGACCTGGAGCTGGCCCAGCACCCGTTAACCTAGCACCGGGGAGCTCCTCATTTTGGGGTGAGTGGAAAAAGTCCCCACACCAGAACCCTCTCTGCTACCTCATACCCCGCACTCAGGGCTCCAAACAGATTTGTTAGGCCCTAGAGCCCCAGGCGGAAGGCCAAGACCAGGCCTGCCAACACTGATATAACCCAGCCAGTGGGGGATTTTCCACTCTGGCCACCACTACCCACTGCCCAGCCAGCGCCCTGGAGCCCCCCCTAACCCTATGATGGGGGAGGGCAGGGAAGGCACTAGAGGTCTCCCCAGGCCTGGCATAGAGAGAGAGGTACCTGCTTGATTGTGTCTCGAGGCCAGATAAGCTCCCATTCCTCCCTGCAGTCCCCAAGGACACGCTGGACTCGGGTGGAAGGCGAGGTAGGAAGGGAGTGCCGTCCCTGGGGTAGGGAGCCGCAGATTTGGAAGTGCAGGCAAAAGAATGTCATAGAATCCTTGGAACCTTGCCACGTCCTCTGAATATAGCAGAACCTATGGACCCCCCAAGGCTTGTGAGGCGTACTAGGCTCCCCAGCAAGGATCTTCAGGGACCTTGCCTTATCTGGTAGGATCCTAGGAGTCTGATGGCTGCTAGACTGACCTGCCTCAAACCCCAGTCACATCCATCCCTCCTGTGCACCCCTGGCCTACTGCATCAGTCCAGGGCACCCTTGCTCAGCTGCCAGGCCTTAGAGGTTTGCAGCCCCTGCCTATCCAGCCAGATCTGACAGCTCAGTCTCCTCAGCGTCCTCTGACTTCCTAAATCCTAGTCTGCCCCTGTCCTGCTCCACCACCACCCAGCCCTTATCTACCTGGAAAGTCCATCTCTTTTCTCCTACATGTCCAAATTCTGCCCATCCTTCAAGGCCATGCCTCCTACAACCAGGGATATACAGAGTCTGATACCTTAGAAGTCGTCTAAGACCACCTCCTAATCAAAGACAGGAGTCCCAGGGAGCCTGACACAGTGGTTCCCACCCAAGTTCATCTTCAACCCCTAAACACTACACACCCAGCTGGTGCTCTCCCCTTGTGACTGCATCTCACACTGTCTAGAATTTGTCTCCAGTTGTTTCCTGGGGTATATTTCTTCTCTCCAGAGGCTGAAAGCTTCCAGAGGGCCGAGGCTGCAGCTCCCACCTCCGTGTGCCTAGCCCGGAGCTCAGGAAATCCTGAACAGTAGATGGAGCCCGTGGGATTGTTCCACACCTTGGTTGTACCTCCCACATCTCATTATCCTGGTGCTTGGATTCTCACGCCATGCTCCAAGGCATCTTGTCAAAATCCAGGCCCTGGGATCCTCCCACAGTGATTGTCTCCCAGGAAAGAGGCATTTTTCTCATCACCTTCTGGCTTCGTCTCCCTCTAAGCACCACCTGACCCAAAACTCATCAAAGCCCCACCCCCTCACCCCTGCCATGGCTAACTAAATAAAATCCATCTCACACCCTGGCCTTAGGGACATGATCAGTCTGGTCCCTTCCAACACTTCCATGCTCATCTTTCACTATGAACCTACTAACGCTCTACCCTCTAGCCACAGTGGCCTCTGGCTTCCGCCCATGGAGGCCTGTTACATTCCACCCTCCATGCCTCTATTCACGCTGTGCTCTCTATCTGGAACACCCTTCCCAAGCATCTCCATCTGCAAGATCTCCTCCTCCTTCAAGACCCACTACAAATGCCACAAAGCCTTCTCTACTGTGACCACCTACTCCCAAACTGGCCCCTCTTGTGGAGGACTTTGCTTTTCCTCCTCTTATGGTATTTATTTCACACCATCTTATATCCCAGTGATTTGCCCCAAATCCTACTGCTCGTAACTAAAAGAAGAGGTCTATTCCTGCACACGGCTCCTTAAATAGCTCATTCATCTTTTGGAGTGTCTACAAAAGTGACACTGGTTGCTGGGAGTATGTCAAGAAGAGATGGCAACTACATAACATGCACACTGCCACTGCTAATCCTTCACTCGTGGCAGACATCACTAATCAACCATATCACTCTTTCCCATAATGCTGAGACATGGCCTTAGGATCCTTCCCAATCTTGTGCTCCATGCAGCCATTCTCAATCAATCTTACAATGACAATCCCCAAGTCCTTTCATGGAAGATTTTGTTGTTGTTGTTGCTTTAAAACTCTGGATACTAAATTTCATTTACTATAGAATTCTATACATATACTTCTTTTTTAAAAACCTAGGCAACTTAAAGCTACAACTATGTGCACCATTCTAGATTATCTTCTAGTTCTTAATGTGCACACTTTGATTTTAACATAGCCATAATCAGTGTGTAAATGCAGCTTCTGTTCTGCTCTTGTCACTTAAGATTACTACATACATATTTCCGTGCATTAAGATAAGCCACCTTCTTATCACTTTCTGTGGCTAAAGAGTGCTCTATCATCATGGTAGCTACGATTACATAGCCCTATTCATTTGGGGTAATTCCAGTTCCCATTTCTCATTACTGTCAACAGCACAATCTATAAGTCATCCAAGGGAAGAGAGTAGTGAGCTCCTCATTATCAGAGTCGTTCAAGCAGAGGCTAAAGGAGCATCTTCTGAGTAATATCGGGGTGGGGTGGGGTGGGGTGTCTTTTGCAGCAGGTGGAAGATTGAGCCAACGATCTGAGTTTCTCTGTGTATTCGAACCCCTGAAATAAGCTCACAGAGCTCTGCTCTGGGGACAGGTACTCTATAAACCTTAAGTCTTCGGCAGCTGTCTAATGAATTTTAGTTACAGCTTCAGCTGTTATCTTTTTCCCTTAAATTTTGTATGTGTTTTATACTTACACCGCTAGTTCAATCAAACCTTTTGGGGACAATACTGGACCTGAGATTTTTATTCACGTTCAAGGATTTATGCCTCCTTTTTTCTTTTGACAGCTTACTGAAATGTTAAGAGCATAATACAGGGAGTTCCCATATACCTTTCATCCAGAACGCCCTAATGTCAACATCTTACATCATAATAATAGTACAACCTGGGAAATTAACCCTGATCTAATGCTATTCACCAATCTATAGACCTTATTTGAATTTCACCAGTTTTCCCACTCATGTCCTTTTTCTGATTGAGGATCCAGTCTAGGTTCCCACATTGCATTTAATTTTAGCCTCCTCCCATCTGTGACAGCTCCTCCATTTTTCTTTGTTATGACCTTGCAACTTCTAAAGAGGATTGATCAGTTATTTTGTAGGATGTCCCTCAATTTAGGGTTTTCTGATGTTTTCTCATGGTGAGATTGAGGGCATGCGTTTGGAGACAGAAACCACAGAGGTGAGATACCCTTCTCAGTGCATGATATCAGAAGCTACATGACATGGGTGAATCTTATTGCTGCTGATTTACCTTAATAACTTGGTTAAGGGAGGTCTTCCTGGTTTCTCCACTGTACAGTTACTACCTTTTCCTTGATTAATAAGTGTCCTCTGGGGAGACACTTTGAGACTATGCAAGTATCACATTTTGCATCATTCTTCTGCCCACTAATTTTAACATCTGTTACTGGTTCTTGCCTACTACTATCGTTATGGTGGTGTTTGCCGAATGGTGCTTTTCTCTTTCCGTCATTCCTTTTACATTTATTAATTAGAATTATACTGCCAAGGTTTTATTTTATTTTTTTTAGAATATTCCCATTTTATTTTATTTTTATTTATTTATTTTTTTTTAAAGATTTTTATTGGGTAATTGGGGGGATGGGAACAGTGGTGGGGAATTGGGGGAAGGGGAACAGACAAGTTGCTGTTGTTTTGTTCTTCAGTCTAGTTGTGGAGGATGTTGCTTCACTGGCCCAAGTTGGCACCATCATTGTGCTCTTCCCGGGCGAGGCACATCAGTCGCTGGCTTCTGGACGGCCGCTCACTGCGGCTGCTGGCCGCTCACGCTGGCTGCTGGCTACATATGGTAGCCCATGGCAACCCACTGCCACAGGGACTGCAGCCTACGCCGTTGCCAGCGACTCACGGCAGCCCAGCTCCAGGTTGAGCTGTTGTTCAGCATCTTAGCTGTGGAGGGCAGTGTCACTGGCCCTCATATGTGGGATCCGAACTGGGGCCCTCTGGCATCCCAATCGAGTTCTTAACCATCGCGCCACTCGGCCGGCCCTATACTGCCAAGGTTTTAAAGTGGACTCTTCCTCCCCTGCCAAAATATCCCATCATTGAAGGTGTGCCAGACCAGGTGCTTTATATTTGGTTAATCAGACAACCCTCACAACAATTCCACAGGACAGAGGAGTCCATTTTATCTATCTATATCTCGAACAGCTGGAAGTTGATCTCTGTGTTTGTAAATAGATTAATAGACACACTGTTTTTTTTCTCTAGTCTATTGATTAACATACCTTTGCTCAAAGATGACAACTTGCTTGTCTGGTTTAGGTGGAAAGGGGGATACATTGGATAGATGGGGGGAGGGTGTCGCATTGCAATCCAGCTGCAGGAAGGGGAAGGATGGGGCACAGCCTCAGGGTCAACTGGAATCTAGAACCCAAACACCACTAGGACCTTTCCTTCTCATTCTGCCTTCCCTTTTCCCTTCTTTTCCTTCCTTTCCTTTCTCTTCCCTTCCCCTTCCTCTCCCTCGCCCCTCCACCCGCCTCCACTATAGATTGACTTTCTCCACTTAACTGACCACCAGAAGCTGAGTCTTACATTTCCAGAGAAAGAATGAAACCAAAATTCCCAGGAAAGCTCTCTGATTGGTCAGGTGCCTACTCCTGGACCAATTAATTGGGGCCCTATAAGAGCCGGGTGGCTTCCTCGGGCAGCATTTTGAAGAGTATAGACAGAAGTCCCCAGAGGAAGTCAGGGATGTTTCTGGCCAAATAATCTCAGAGATGTCCATGCAGATTTATTTCCGATGACATGTGGAACCTCCCTCTAACTCTCCACCTACCCGTTTTGCACATATTAAACAATGTGGTGGGGATGTGTGCCATGCAATTGCCTTTAGAAGATCGATCTCTACCACTCATCGACCCTTTGACCCTGACAATTCAGTTACCCCTCCCGAGCCTGAGTTTCCCTGACTGTAAAATGGGGATAAGAATCCATCTCGCGGGGTTGCAGTAATAATCCAATACGGCCATGATATGAGAGGGCCCTCTGGAACGACCTGTGGAGTGGGAATCTTTTTCTTTCGATTGGGCAGGGGGCTGGAGGCACAGACTGAAGAGGAAGGAGGATCTCTGGGGAGTGCTGAGAATGTTTCCTGACCTGAGTCCTGGTGACACGGGCCTGTGAGAAGTTAGTGAGCCGTATCCTCATGATATGTGTTCCTTTCTGAATGTGTCTTATATTTTAATTAAAAGTTTCATAGTGTCAAATGTGTTTGATAGGGGTTAGACATTCATGTAGCTTACAAAGTGACCCTCCCCCTGATAAGTCTAGCACCCACCTGTCACCACACAGTGTTATTACAATATTATTGACGATATTCCCTAAGCTATACTTTACATCCCCATGACTATTTTGCAACTGACAATTGGTTCAAGTGACATTTTAAAAAGAAGAAGGAAGAGGAGAAAGGAGACCTCACACTCGCCCTCAGAGGATCCCCAAAGATGGAGGGGAGAAGCAGTCCCTGCTGAGGGAGTTCCTGGCGGCTGGGGACCCTGCACATTCGCCCATGATGTTGTCCACAAGAGCAGAGAGGCCGAGATGGCTTCAGGTGAATAAGGATGAACATGTCATGTTTGCATAGCCATGTGTTTATTATATTTTAGCACAGATATATAGTGGACGCCTCCCACCCATGACCTCATGGACACGGTGTGTTAAGATGGGCTGCTAAACGAGGAGTATCCAGAAGCAGCAGAATTGGAGCCTGAAATCCTTGTCTGGGAGGAGTTTGTCTCCCAGCCTGGACATCCTGGGATGGGGCAGAGCCTGCAGTGACCGAGGGACCAGGGCCTCCAGCCCAGGAGTCTCTGGGTGTTAGATTTCTCCTCCTCCTGCCCAGGCTTGGGCCCCATAAGGACGGGCAGTCTTCTAGATGTGAAATCCAGCCAGAAACTCCCAGCCTCTCCCGCTGCCAAGGCACTGACTAGGGGTGGCCATTGCCTTGTGACAAGCAGGACAACTGTGAGCACATGGTCAGTTGTCATGCCAAGCCGGGGCTCCACGTTCGTGGCTCTGTCCACTCTGCCGGCTCAACTTCCTTCCAAACCCCTGTCCCACATCTGCAGAAACTGCACAAGCCAGAGAGCTGGGGGTGAAACTTAGCATGGCCTCTCCCGTCTCCCCCATATCAGTGGATTCTAACCAGTGGCCACACACAGGTAGTATAAAGATCATGAGGCTAGTAGAAAGACTAATTTGGAACCCACTGACCTGTATCAAGTGGGCATGAGAATTGAACTGATCTGACCCCCCTACTCACCCTCCACCTCCTAAGCTACCTGCCTTGTTCCCCAAAGCCAAGGCCTATGGAGCTGCTTTATTTGAGGTCTCCCAGATCTCAGCCCTGAGAAGCAGAGTTTAGCTGCAGTGAGTGAAAAATGGAGGTTTTTCCAGCTTCTGTGAGACCCAGAGACCCAGAGGGCATGCCTGTGATGACGGAGATCGGCAGAGCCAGTCCACACAGCAGTGGCCAGGCCCCCCCTTGTCGTCAATGGAGTTGTAGACCCTCAGGAAGACGTCATCAGGGAACCACAGGGGCCAGCCAGTTTCTGAAGGCAGGTACATGGGCTGGAACCCCATGAGGCAGTTACTGCACTTACCTGGAGGAAAAGGAGTGAGAAGGTGTTAGCAGGAAAGTCTCACTGGGTTAAGAAAAGAGCCTGAGCTTCGAAATCAAAGAAGCCTGGGTTCAAATCTCAGCCTACCGCCGGCTAGCCGTGTAACGTGGAGCAAGTCGCTTTACCTCTCTGAGCTCTGGTTTCCCCATCAGTTGAGGGAGGCAGATACTGTGACCTATTACTGTGTGCTACACAATGAATACAAGTTAGGCAGGTGAAGAAAATGAGAAAAAAATATTTCTGGCAGGCAAAATAGGACATGCAAAGGGCCTGAGGTAGGAAAGGCAAAATAATGGGGCTAGCGAGGCTGGAGTAGAGCAGTGAGAGGAGCCTGCCGAGGGAGGCAGAGGCCCAACCACTAGACTTGAGGCCTTGAAGCTTATTTGACCATGAC